GTCATGATACAAGTGATGATACAAAAATTGAAATAAGTGGTATTTGACTAACCTACATAGATTTTGTCTTCCAAGAGTCTCTGTTGTCTTCTTTGTATTAAAATGAATGCTTATTTTTTTAAAATTACATGTAAGCCAATAAATAAATTTCAGGTTAACTGTTTTGGTGCCACCTGATTTGTCCCACAAAATCCAAACTACACTCCCAGCTGAACTAGCTGGGCTTTGAGAATCAAATTGTCAGCAGTGCGCTTTGATGGATTGTGACTGAGGAAGTCACAGCATCACAGCTACAAACAGTTGATCAACCACTTAATGCCACTTGATGACATTAACTTTGATTCCAACAAAGCAAGTTAATCTCTCTGTAAGGGAGAGCCTATTGCACAGTTAGCTGGTAATGGATCTCTAAGCCACGAAAATAGTGTATCAAGATTTCAATACCATTGGTAAGCATTATGGATGAGGAAATAACTCTTGCAAGACATGTCAGGAAGTGATTTGCTCTCAGTAATGCAGAGAGATTACAGAGTACAAAGAAATAATGTGCTTTGAAACTTCAGTGCGAAAGACAATTTTTCTTGAGGGAAAGATGTTCATATCCTTGTGAGTTAAATTCAATTTGCCACCAGGCAGAACAGTTGGGAGGGAAATTCAGTGCATGCCATACAGAGCTGCAGAGTTTATTTTTGCCCTGTAAAAGGGATGTACATGTTATGATAAAAAATTTTGGTGTGTGTGGCCAGACTGGGTGTGACAAAGGAGTAGAAAAGGGTACAACCATTTTTAGCTGTTCTATTCCCTTCTGGCTAAGTTGTGTGTATGGAAGGTAACTGTGCTACCTAGTGCACCTGAGAGCTGAAGAAACCATCAGCATCCTTGAGATAAATGCCACAAAATGTCCCAGTAGGAAACACATCTTGTCTGCCTGTCTGTCCATTCAAGGTCAAATGGTGTGTGCTTGTGATGGGAGACTTGATGTTCCTTGGAAAATGTTGCTGGTGCACATGTTTAATCCCACTGCAGAAGTTCAGTACTGGGGTGGGATTTACAGCACAGCACAATGTGAAAGTTGCTCTGAGAACTTCATTTGGAAAGGGATGCTTTTGGGCTCTCTTGCTGTGTTTCAGATTAGTTGCCAAATAGTACTACTAGATCTCCGTGAATTTTCATGTTGTCTCCATTTCCCAGGGACCCTTAAGTCTATTTGGAGCTTCTCTCTGTTCTTCTTCTACTATCAAAATATCAACATGGCACACTGCTTTCACAGATATCCATGAAGAAGCACAGTCATTAATGAACTTGAACCACTGTAAAGCAGGTTATTCCTCAACAGTAGTAAGTGCAGTTGCTTTGGGAATGATAATAATGAAATGTATTTGCTAAATCTCACCTGAAGATAAGGTGATTATTATTGGAGAATCATCATTGCTTTATTTTAAGTGGGATATTAAAAAGAAATAATAATGGCCAGAATCTGGAAACAGACCATGTAGGACATTGCATCTGATGTAGTGCAGATCAGGAGTAGATAAAGATGGATGATATATTTTACCCAAATCTTTTTTTTTCTTGTCATAGGAGGCTGATATAGCTTTAGTGACCTATTTTGTAAATCTGATTTCTTTCTTCTTAAATTCTTCTGAAATTTCCTTAAAAATTCCCACCTACATTCCAGCAGTAGTTCATTATTTATTGGATTATTCATGATGTTTGGGTTATTTTTCTTTTCAGACAAACTCAGAAGGATTGCAAAGTTTACTGCTAGTAAATCAAAGGAATCTCCGAAACCAGTTTAGCTATTCACATATCAGACTAATAGAAAGTTAGAAGTATTGTGGTGACAAGGAAAACAAGAAGGAAAATGGCAGACCAAATAAGTAGGATACTGAATGCATCACAGAATCACAGAATGGGAAAGAAAGGAAAATCAGGGAAACTCTTCAGCTTCTAATGGAAGTCTGCAGGAAATTTCTGGCTGTAGTAGGGTTGAGATAGTGATAAAAGTGGATGTAAACAAGGTTTTAAACTGTTATGGTCTGTTATATAGTTAATCTGTTCAGTCTAAAAAAGTACTTGAATAGAGCCCTTCTAGTCCCCTCCTCCAGCTGCAAACAAAAAATAAAGCAGACTTCAAAATATGTACAAAACCCATTTAGATGTATATGTATACCATTCATCCCTGATAATCAGTTATTGCAGCAAAGTGGATTTTGAAAGACCAATACATTTGGACAATTTGTTTGTATCACTGGGTTCTCTAAACTTGGCCCATAATCTCCCCTCTTGGTCAAACTGGATACAGGAATGCTTTCAACATTATATATATTCCTAATTGTTTCCTAATAGACAGATCCTAGACGACTAAAAATAGGAGCAGTTTAAAGTTTTGGGTTAAGACTAATAACCTCCTATTTGTTACGAGCCATTCACAAGAATTTATCACTGTAGTTAATCGAAAACTATGGAAGAGCATAATTTACACCATGTAAGCAGTCCTCAGAAAAGGTCAGATCTTTAGTTCTTGAAAGGGCTTTTGTTTTTGTCTTTAAATTAAAAAAAATGTGCAGGAAAAAACCTCTTGGATGAAATTTAATTAAAGGTGATGTGTAGCCAAGTGCAAATATATCTTCTGAGATTAAAATTTCTGCATATCTGCACAGGACAGGTACCCAGTGCCATGTTTAAAATGCAGATTATTGAGTCTTTTATTAGGCATTCAATTTGGCATCCAATTTGAAGTCAGTGCAACTTCTGCAATTAACTGTAATGAACTGGGTTTGGATCTTAGTTTTGTTGGTATAAGCAAAATCAAATATGAATCCTACTCTTTATCTGTGTTAAACGTTCTCCTTGGATGGAGCTGAAGCTGAAAGTGCAATTGTCTGGAAATCCCCTAACATTCGGTTCAATGCACTTGGGATGTCTAAGTTTCTTGTTATTGTGGCTGGCTTTTGAAAAGGGATATTGTCTTCTGAATCCTCCCTCTGTATTTTTGCCAGAGAAGAATATTATCATTTCTGATGGGGAAGACAAGGGAAAAGAAGGAAAGTGACTCACCCAGCATCTGAGTGCAATCTCTGCAGTGTTTAAAGCTTTAAGAATTTGAGTTTGAGTGGTGCAGAGGGCAGACCAGTGCTTCTCCACAAGCCCAGTGAGCAGGCTGGGTACAAGCCAACTGTGTCACCCGAGGCACAGGTGCAGAGGGGTTGTCCCCAGGAACCAGCTGGCCCAGAAAACAGTGTGCTGCTCTGCAGCCATGCTCTGTGCCTGCTGCCGAGGAAAGCTTGCCACAGCCTGTGGAGCTGCCCGGAGAACCCTGCTGCAGGGTGATGAGGGAGCACCAGCTCTTGCTTGAGCTGCTGCTCACAGCTCCTCGGGCAGCTTGTCAGGCAGCTGAGCTGTTTGACACTGTCAGACACTGATGCTTCAGAAATGGAGGCAGGATGTGACATGTCCTGCTCAGCTTTACATGCACTCTCTCAGGTCAGAGTAGCTTTAGTCTGATCCTGCTGCACTTAGAGCAATTTCATAACTGGATGCTGGCTCATCCTCACACAGATGCCTTGAAGGCAAAGTGCAGTATGGTTCAGTCAAGCCACAAACATATTTCAGTCTGGCTTGGGTATGAACTGGAAGCAAGAGTGGTGAGACCATTTAGGAATATTAAAATTGCCCCTTTCTAATGCAGAATCATTTTCGAGGAATTAAGCACACACAGAGGGACAACAATGCGTAAAGAAGATCTTCAGAAAATTATTTCCAAATTAAGACTGCAGTTTACAAAATTAGCAATACAAGTAAAAAGGATGTCATTCTCCCCAAACTCTCGTATTAAAGTATTCTTTTATAGTGCTTTAATACTGAAGAATGAAATGAAGAGAAAGATGATTAGTTCACTAAAGTGTTGGGATCAGCAGTGACATTACGACTAGTAATTACAAACTGCCTTTGCTTGTTGACTGTCCTGACATCATCAGTTGTGTTTAAATAGATAAGATTAGCAATCCCACACTAAACAGAACAGTAAATAGCAGGACTGTCTTCTGAGATTTAGCACCAAGCCACAGACTGTTAATGGGAGAACGGAAGCTGTGAGAGGGAGTGAGTCCTGTTCCAACTGCTAATTAATCCGATATATAAATCCTCAAAGAGAGATCAACAAAACAAGGCTCTTGTTTTTGTGGAAGGTGCTTTTGTAACAGCAGAAGAGAAAATAATAATAATAATTAGCCAGTCGACTTGGAAGGCTTTATGTGGAAAGTACACAGTGTTATGTGCAAATATGTTGCCAAATGGAGAGCTTTCTTTATTTATTGGAGTGCTTGGAGCAACAAACTAGAGCCTTTGCATATTAGATTGCAATTTGCATATTTACTTAATGCTCTTCCTTTTTTTTTTTACTGCTTATCCTCCCTTCACTCAGAAACAAACCTACAGCAGAGCAGGCACGTTTCTCATAGCCAGTTTCATCTGCTGACATCAATGGATTTGCACCACGGATGAATGTGGCTGTTTGTGCCTCATCCTGGCAATCATGGCAGCTGTTAGGCTTGACTGTGAACTCAAGAATCCCATCATCTGTCACCGTGTTTGTCTTCCCAACAGTGCTTTTGTCAAAATAGTTATGCTGGGAGAGGAACACTGTGGTGTGCACAGCAGGTCCCAGCCTTCTCCCAAACCCAGCACAAAAGTACAAAACTTTCTCTTGCATTTTCTTGATAGCGTGTCCTATTATCCCAGACAGGAAAGGCAAGAAGCTGAGCAGACAAAACACCCTCATCAGAAGGAAGGCAGCTTCAAAACACAATTTTAAATTTGTTTGAGGGAGGAAATTTTGTGGCTTCATTATAACAATGCATGAAGGTCTTATGCAGGACGCAAGGTGAATTTAACCACAGCCTATGTGTGTGTCTATCTGTATGTCTATGCACATTGTTGCTTTCTCATGTTCAGTTTATTTTCTCTGTGATTTCAATTTTTCCCCATTCTCTTCCCAGAATTTGTTCTGTACTGTCTCACCCAGGACTGTCAGTTAAGAAGAAATGTCAAGGGACAGGCTGTTAAAAATAGTGAGTATTGTGGCTTATGCACTGCAAACACACAGAAATGAACAGAACAAGGAGAAAGGCACTAAAGCACTGTCTCTTCCCTGGATTCAGTGATCTCCTAGCCCATCCTATGTCCTGTAACAGGATTTTAAAGACATGCAACACATTGCTAAGGATTACACACTCAAAAATTTTTAATGGCAGGAAACACCTCACTTCTACATGATCATTTTTAATTTTTCCTGACTGCTCTGATGTAATTCAACTTGAAATATAAACCAAAGAGGGATATTTTAACCTAATATCTGGGGAAATTTGGCAATGTAATAGAAAAATTTACTTTTATGGACAAGAAGAATGTGCTTGATCAGAAGAATGTCATTTGGAGCCTTTAATGGATCTACTCAGTTGAAACAGTGCATGGTGAGCAAGTCAAATGTTACAATTACTTTTGTTTTCTAACCCTGCTAACAGTCTGCTTCTTAGTGATTATTTTCGTGGGATTGATTGAACAGGCTTTTTTTTTTCTGACCTCGATTATTTAAAGTCCATATTTTACCTTAGTTTTTCTTTTTTGCTACTAACAGCAAAAATATGTATTTTTGCTAAAATGTACCTTTTCTATCTGAAGTTGCTAAGGAAGTAACTGCTTAAATCTTGTATCACCTGTGGCATTAAGAGAAGCTTTAAGGTTTCTAGAAGTTACAACTCCTCATTTCTATCAGAAATTATTGAATTCTTGTCATTTTGAAAATGGTACAATACAAACCTACCCAAGGCAATACAACAACATGAACTGGTGCAGGAAGACATCAGACCCTGGCTGTTAGTATTTGGAGCTGCCCCACCATTAAATTTGACCACAAAAATTCTGCCTCAAAGAACTCCCAAACAAAATGAGAGAACAATCTATAAAGAAACAGAATATGGGCTTTAGATTCAGTTATAGGCATGAAAAGCATATTTTTTCTTCCATTTTGCCTTCTTTGTAGTCTGTCCGGATCTGCTGGTGGTGTCTTACAGGCAAAAAACCAGGACAGCACAGCTCCTCTGCATATCAAATTTATACCACCACATTGCAGACAAGATAATCTTCTGTCGTGAAGCAGTTTTTATGCTATGCTGATTCATGAACAGAGTTAAAGAAAGGGCTGCATCAGTGGACATGCCTGGATTTGCAACACACATTTTACCTCCTTGTGTTTTATAACACCGTCACACATAATTGAGACCTTTATAAATTCTTCCACAAACAGGCTTCTTGCAGCACTAGAAAAGCAAACACTACAAGATACCCAGAAATGTGCATGATAAAAGCCTGGGATCTGTCTCCTAGTACAGAACAGTCCATCTCACTACATGAATACATTTTAAATATGTATGGACCCAGCATTGAAAACTCTGTCTAAAAACCTTCAGCAGCTGTCACTGCCTTTCACTTCACAGAGAGCCACATCCACCCATAGAAAGTAGATGTAATAATAAAAACTTGCAAAGATCAACAAAACTCTAAAAATGAAAAAATAATAAAAAAGGGAAAATGTTGCAGTTATTGGTTTTTTAAAAGAATGTATTGTAATATATTTCTTTCATTCAAAGACTATTCAGATCAGTGCATGTGTATTTTGTTGATTCTGCATATCTGGTTAAATGCTAGTCTTCATTTTATTCAGCACTTAAACTTCCAGGGTTTGAGGGTGAACAGGTGGGATAAAACCAACTAGTATCACATTGGCTGTTTTTTCATGAAGTTAGTGAATTGCATAATTTAAAAATGTGAATTAAAAATTTTATAAATGGCAGATTTAAGCTGTAGCTCACGGGATGATTATCTATTTGTAACCTGTAATAGTCATGTTTACAAATAGGGTTAGGAATGGGGAATGCTGCTGCAGTTTCCCCCTTCCTCCATGAGTTACTCTTTTCCCCCAGCACTCTGATGTGTTTGTGTCTGACTGCACACTGGTCAGACTGTCTCCCCACTCAGAATGTGTTCAGAATGTGTGTAGGGAGCTAAAAGGACCGAAATCTATCACCTCTGTATTAAGCTTTGTGGCACTCATTTTCTTGATTCTGCCAATATTAGAAACACTTTCCACTGGAGCTTCAAGGAAAAACCTCCATCTTTTCCAGTCCTCCAGGTCCTGGCCCAGAAACTTGAATAAAGCATTTATAGTGAACTCTTCCCACTCCTTTGCTGTTTCCTGCCTCTCTTTTCTTATAAACGTCTTCTGTCAGACACATAAATCTTTTCCCAGCTTATTTGGGCAGTTCCTTGGAGGCTCACTATAGAAAGAAACAACTCAGTCATTCCTTCAGCTCTTCTGAGCCTCCCTTTTGTGTTACTTGCAGCCTTCCAGTTTATCTGAGGGCTGCAAGGCAAGGACTGAGCTGAAGCTGGGAAAGGATGTTACTTTTCTGTTACAATTTTAGAACATGAAGTATGTGTTCTTCTAATCATTTAACTGGACTACATTTAATGTCTCATGAACTTAGATGGTTCTTAAAGAAGAACTATGCACTTGGCCCCAATTCCTTTTTGCCTTTTCTGATTTTTAAAAGAAAATAACAAGGAACAATGTAACTGGGTTGGTCAGGTGAAGAAGAATTTCTAGTAATTTAATTTTTTCCTGACTTGAGATTAGAACTGTACAAGGAAATCCAAAATAAACAACCTGAGTTCAGAAACAACTCTCATTGATTTTAGGCAAATATGGCATATAATTGAGGGGGAGGGGGGAAACTTGTGCAGTATATAAATTACTTTTATTGTTGTCTACTGGCCCTTCTACTGCTTTCTGCTGCTAGAAACAGATTTTAGAGCCTTTCTGCAATGGAGGAAAATTTTTTTCTTCAATGAACAGCTAAATTCTTAGATATAGCTTAATGCTAATGGCATGGTTTGGTGAGCTCATATTACAGACAGACCAAAGGAAGTATGTGAATATTTACATGGGTGGTACTTAGAAGAGTACCCATACATGAAGGAGGTTTTGGCATTTCTTTTCGATTTTGTTTTATATGAGGGGAAGTAATATCTGTATGACACAATGATAGTGAAATTCTCTGGGCAGCATGTTGCAAAACAGGAAAAAAAAAGATGAAAACTCTTTTCCTTTTTTATGCCATTTTAGGTGGGCTAGGAGAATGTATTCTCCAGAGAGGCATGTTTGAAGTGTTTCACAGTGCAACTAACCTACATTCAACCAGACTGATGCCAAAAGGCACAGTCTTCTTATCTCTTTTCTCCCCAGGCATGTACCACTGCCTCCTCCCTTGAGACAGAGCTGGAGACCATGTGGTTGGAGGGTGGCCTCAAAAGCTCATTGATCGCCTGAGTAAATGGATAATTTCTTACGGTAGGCTTGTTCTCTGTTGGATTAATTATCTGACCCCATTTATCCAATGGTAGCTGGATTGCCAGAGTCAATGGAAAAAGAAAAAGTAAGGAGCTTGAGTGGGACCACACCTTCTGTGAGCTATAATTGGACCAGGCTATAAATAGACCCATTATATCTAGTGTGAAATCTCGGAAGAAAGGAAACGGCAGGGAAGGTCTGGTGATTTACAGGATAACTCCTCAGGGCTTTGTCTGGGCTGGTGGAGCTGGTGCTTCTTCTCATCCCACAGTTCCAGCTACCTGCGCTGCCTTGGCAGCTGAGGCTGCAAGCAAAGGCAAAAGAGACACCAGGCAATGTTGGGGGCAAAAGGCAAGGGAGGTGCATGCTGTTTATTTCTGAGGAAGAAAAGGAAGGTGTGAATGTAAAGAACAGATCGACAGGCTTAAGTGACATCCATTTCATGTATGCTTTGTTGTGTTTGGAAAGGATTTCTGTTAATTGCGAACAGTGGAGAAAATTTGTGCTTATAATATGGTAGAGATTTCTGAGTAGAATAATTATGCTCATTGGAGTTGAACTAAAAGCTCACCCTAGAGTAAGGCAAAGAAGTGTGTTTGTGTGTAGCTATAGGGAAAAATAAGAAGGACAAAAGACTCCAGTCTTCCTTGAAAAGCAGCAATGCTTTTAAATATTTCTTGATGCCAGAGAGCTGTTATAGCTGTAATGTTGGGGACCATTGCTAGAACAATTGGTGAAATATGGGCTGGCTGGAAGGAATTTGTAGCAACAAAACCAGCTTAAAGCACAGGATCTGAGACAGCCTGTATGGAGTCCTGAGATGTCTGACAGTCACAAAATGTGAATGAAGCAGGCTAGGCAAAAGCCTTACCATAGAACAGGCTGTGAAATAGTGTTAATCAACATTTAAGATAGTATACATTACTCTGTTTTCTTACCTTTTGTGTGCTTTTTATTCTCTAAGAAAATATTGCTAAAGTCAAGTCATTCATGTTTGTAAATGAGGAAAATTATTCCAGAGAGCACCACAAAGTTTTGCTTAATTTCCCAACTTTTGGGCTCAACAAGAATCAATGGTTAATAGGCATCATCCCCTGCTGCTACCAGCTAAGTCCTGACAAAAACATGTTGCAGAAGTAAACATGAATTGATGCATTATGTCTGCTTCTGTGTTTCAAATAAATTTCAAAAACCCAAAAAGCAAAACCCAAACAAAACTGCTTGACTCTGTTAAGTATAACATGTTCCTGGACGCGTCTAATCAGCTTTTGACTTAACACAAAAGTGATATAATTTGGATCAATGCAGTCTTGTGAGTTTTCAAGAAACTTTAATATTTTAGTAGAAATATGAATTTAATAGAAATGTTTCTATTAAAAGGAGAGCAGGAAAAAAACAGAGACTTCACTCCACCGGTATATGTGCCTGCCAGCTTGTTCTATTGAATTTCCTGTGCTTTATAATCATATTTTATACAGTGGTAATTGAGAAGAAAAGAAGTGTAATATTTTTCTTTGACACCTTCTTGTAGCCCTTTTATTTTACTAAATTAACTCCTTACCACAGTGAGAAGAGACTAACCAGACAGTTGTTCAAATATTGTTCTCTTTCTTAAAATAATAAATCAGCTTTATCATCTACTTTGGATTAAAAAGGACAGAA